CTTAATTTCAAATATCTTTTTAACATGAGAATCAATGTCACGGCAGTTTGTATCAATTTGTCTTAACTTAATAATATTTTTCAACAGCATTGAGGCTATATTAAAAACTTTTTCCTCTTAAATTCATTTTTAAAAAACCTTTAAATCCCAGTCACGCTGAACATAGGATTGTTCACAGCACTTCCCGCTTCTCACACACATTTTGTATACGCACATGGCCTACGTCACAGCCCACCAATGACACGTTTTAGTGGCAAAACTTGTTATAAGAAATTTATTTTTTTATTGCAAACACATTTTTGCACTAAAGGCTCTTTTAAAAAATGCATTCAATAAAGCTTGTGTTACGAATTTTTAAAAAAACCGACGGATTGCTTTTATTAGCGGTATAACCCTCGCTGTAAACCTTTTAAAATCTGCAGAAACAACCCACTTTGATATTCTTAAAGTATTTATTAAGGAATTTTCTAGAATACAGCTAACAGGTGTTTACAAAAATATTAATCTGTTAAGACAAATTGTGCAAAAGCTGGAGAGTCTATGTTCCATAGTTTATGAAATATTTGACAAAAAGTTTCGCGACACTTTAGTTATTCAGATATTAATAATTCAGCCAATTAAAATAATAAACTATTAACAAATCGACAGCCAGCTGTTCAGATGTACTAAGCCTCAAATTGCTTTTATTTTTGTTTCTTTTGTTACGGTTTCTTAATCTTTGATATCGATTGCATTTACTCAAAAAATACTTTGTAGAAAATGAAAGTGTAAATGTTGAAAATAAAAAAGCAAGATAAGATACATAAAGTCGGTACAATTGTTAAAAGAATAAAAGTTTTTTTTCTGTCCTGAAGAATTTTGCTCTTTGATCTTAGTACAATTTAACAGCTTGCCGATGACATAATATGTTGCAGTTTCTTAATCTGTGGTATCGGTTGTATGTGGTTCTGAAATATTTTGTCGAAATACTATTTCTAAATGTGAAACAGCGTAAAAATATATATATAATGCAGGAACAGTTGTAAAAAAATGAGACGATTTTTGTTGTTCCTATGTTTCCTTTCCTATCTAAAAAAATGTTTCTCGATTTTGAACAGTTGAAGAGCTTGCGGACGAAATGTTGTTCTTAACTGTTTCCATAGTCTCATGTCTCTGCTGCTTCTTAATCTGTTTGTCATTCTTCTCCTCTGTGTACTTGGGCGAACGTATGCGTGTTCTTGTATTTTAAGGATAGAAGGTTTATTTCTGAAATGTTTTAAATTGTTGTTTCTGGTGTTCTTTATTTGAGTGGTTTTGATATATCTTTTTTT